ACTTTTACCTTCAACACTTTGGGGATACTGGCCTCTGTTGTTAGCAGATTATATTTCTTATGCCTCACCCAAATATAAAACTAGACTTGTTTTACATTATAATATATACTAGGAAATAATCTGAATTGCTCATGTATCAATCATCAATATATATAGTGTTTTGAACACTGCTTTGCTATTTTTAAATTTTTCTTTAAATTTGATCAATGCGAGATCAATGCGGGACCCGTAATTTAATCAATGAAATTTGTTTATATAGGATGAAAAAGATATATCAATAACGCATACTCCCTCTTATATGTACAGTGTTTGAAGGTAATTTGAATTATTTTTAAATAAAATGTACTCCCTCCCATCTTATTTATAAGGTGGAGAGAGAATATTTTTCTGTCTTACTTATAAATTATATTATTAAATTTTTATCATAAATTTTCTCTCTTAACTTCCATTAAATGTTAGAGAGAGAAAATATGTTGTCAAAATATATATATTTAATAAAAGTAAAGTTACAAACTTATTAAATTTTAAATAAAGTTAATAAATTGTAAGGTTTTGCTTGATAAAAAGGGAATAAAATGAAAACGTATGCATAGTTGAAGGACTCAAGAAATAATTTAGCTATTTTTTACAAATAAAATAAAAAAATTTAAAATTAAGATTAAACAGAGGAGAGGGTCAAACAGAAATTGTTCATTAAATTTTAGAGAAAAGTGAGCATACATCAAACTCATGATAAAGAAAAGGGGGTGTGGAACATACTATTAAAAAATGTGGGATGAATGTGAAACTCATAATTTAATTAATAAAATTTATTTTCATATGGAGAATATTTTTGCTATATATAGTTTCATTTGTAAATTTTAAAATTTTAGATAAGGTGTAAAAAAAATAAGGTTTTTATATTTTGAAAAACCATCTAGGAACCATAGTAAAAATTGATGGAGGATGTAAAATTCTTAATAAAAATAATATATAGGTGTTAGGTACACAATAAAATGAAAAAACTTAGTTAGACAAAGTATAAAAAGTACCTAGATAACTTGATGAGTTTCATTTTAAACTTTAATTTACTCAAAATAATAAATTATAAATAAAATAATTTATTACTTTTAAAATTTATATGTATAAGATAATAAATTGTAGAATAAAATACAAAGTTAATTGTTTTGAAAATAATTTAAAATTATAAATTTAAAATAAAAATAAGCTTAAATTATGTTGACTAATATATCTCTTATTATATTAAATTCATATTCCATTAATTAACCAAAAAAATTCATATTCTATTTTTTTACATACATATTTGAAATATTATTTTAACAAATTTTAGATATTTAAATTTTTTTAAAAATAATAAATAAATAATTTTAATGATTATTAAATTTTAGAAATGAATAAAAATTTAAAAGCATATATCATTTAAATGTTTTGGAATTAGATAACACTTATATATTTAAAAAATTATTTTAATTCAATGTATGTCACTTAATTGTCAACTGGGTGAATGAAAATGAAAACTTACAAATATAAGAAACACTTGTATTTGTATCTATTAATATTAAGAGTGGTTTGTATAAATTTAAAAATAAAAAAGAGCATATACAATTAAGATAAAATAGAGAGGAAAACATATTTTACCTTAAATTATAATTGATCTAAAATTATTTTTAATTTTTTATAATGTTTTATTTGTATCTTTTATATACGAAAGTATTTTTGTGCATCACACGGGCATTAAATCTAGTTTATACCTAAAAATATAAAAATCTTAAAATCTGGTCCTAATAATTACTAATAAATAAGGTGGTATCAAGGTAGAAAATGAAATGCATCAACAAAAGAGTTGAATAAATTAGCTCAACAGAACTTTCAAAAATCATCCAAGTAAAATCAATTATACGATCATGATATTGATAAGAATCTAAACTTATAGTCTATTTGGATTTAGCGATTAATCAATTTTTTGGATCAAAAAATTGATTAAAATAGAATTTACCCAAACAGCTAATTTTTGTGATAATTGATTATTGAGACAATTAATTGATTTTATCATAACCTGAGGGAGATTGCTTCTAGAATTGCAAATGCAATTTGGATGGTTATAAACAGATTTCTTTTTGTATCAATCCAGTTACATTTTATTTTTTATCATGTGTTGTCGGCCTTATATTAATTTGTTATCAAAAATTTAATTTTAAAAAATAATGTCCTTTGTGATCATTTGTATAATTAAAATTGATTCTAATTAAATTATTTAAATATTTTCAATTTTATTAAAAATAATTTTTAAAAAAATAATATTCAAACAAATTATATTATAACATAATTAATTATATTCAACTAAAATTTAAATGGACACTTAATCTATCATGTTTGATCGATGAATTAAATGAACTAAAATTATTAACAAAGCCGACCCATCTAAAACATGGATTGACCCATCCAGGAATGAGGACAGACAGGGAAGAATATGAAGACAGCAAAGAGAAGTTGGGGATCACATCAAACACAAGTAAAGGGCCAAACATGTCAACATATCTGCCCACAGCCCCACATTGTTGGTTCTTCATTCTTGCTTTTGACTTTTTCATTTTACCTTCGTCTCCTCAATTTCGTTTATAAATTCAGCTCTCTCTCTCTCTCACACACACACACGCGCACACACACAAATAGTAATTATGTGTTCTGTTGTTAAATAATTTTATATTAGTGAAAAAACCAATTTCTACTCTCTCTTCCTTATCTTTTTAGGGTGTGTTTGAGTAACTCGCTTGTAATTTTTGGAAAGTACTTTCGTCTGTTTGAAATGTGGGATGTTGTTTAAAAAAAAAATGAAGAGATGAAAGTACATTTTAAAAATGTTTTGAGAATATTATTAAAAGTGAATTTAGTGTATGTAAAATGATAAAATTTTTAAAAAGTGAGATGTTATTTTACTCCAAATTTAATCTTTAATTATTTTTTTAAAAATAGTTAATTCATTAAGAATATAATTATCATTTAAATAATAATTATTATAAACCAAGTTGTTAGCATTATAAATTAAATAATTAACCATATTAATTTTTAGCATTAATGTATCATAGAAATTATAAATATTTATCACAAATTTTAAAATTACAAATTAAAAAGTACAAATGATTAGAGATAAAGTTTTTAGCACTATAGATCAAATTTTATGCCATTTAAAATCTTCATCATATTTTTTAAATATTTCAAATATATTACATTTATATAATAAAAATTATAAATCATCATAAATCAATATTCTTTTTAATAAATGTACATTTAATAGCACATTTCACTATCATAATCCAAACAATCCTCAGTTTAAACACAAATTTCATTAAACAACCAACTTTTATCAAATGAGCTTTCAGCAAATAGAAATTTGACAAACAAAAAATAAAACACACTTTAATTAGGAACATCAAATAGGGGAGACGAAATTAATTTATCCATTTTCCATTAACGAAGTGTAATACATTGTCGACTCTATCTCGTCTTAAACTTTACTTCTTTTTTTTTTTAGTAGATAACTTACTTTAAAATTCAAATCATGTGTAAACAACCCCCAAACCTTAATGTAAATTGCATACGAACCCTTTGTAATATACAATAATGGACAAATTAGCGTTAGAGAATTATCCATGCAACTTTAACTTTGGAAGGTTTTATCCTCAAGTTTCTAATTTAAAGACGATGATCCCTCTTGCAATACTATTTATAAGTTATTTTTAATATATTTTACTAAAAAAACCCTAAAATTTAATAATTTTATTTAAAAATTTAATAAATTTTTAATTTTACTCTCATTAAATACGCATACTTTAATAACTTATTTCGTCCGATCCTTAGTATAAGATAAACCTAACTAACTTTACACTTATTAAAAAAATGATTGTTATACCCTAAAAATTGTTTAAAGTGTACTCATTCCGTTTAAAAATATAAGTAGTTTTTAATTAAATCTTACTCTAAATAAAATAATTACTTACTTTTAAACTAACCCTATCTTTTTATATTTATTCTTATTAAATAACCTATAATAAATATAAAGTCATTCATCAATAGAGGTACTTTTGAAAAAAAATAATGATTACATTTCAAAAGACTAAAAATACCTTATATTTTTTAAAATTTAACTTCTTAAAGAATGCCTTATACTTTTTAATGGAGGGAGTACGTAATTTTTCAATTTTACCCCCTTTTGCAATAATTAACCATAATAAATTGCTCTCTAGTTTTTTTTTACTTGATTTTTTCTCTTGAAATTCACATCATAATAAATAAATAAATAAATAAGTAAAATTGAAAAAGAAACTATTCCCTCTAACTCCGATATAAGTCATTTTCTAAAAACACCTATTGATCCAAAATATAAAGTATTAGTTAAATTTTATTTTTGTCTTCAATGTTCCATATTCAAAAATCATGCACGCATTACTAAAGAAACTTAAGAATATAAATGTAAAGATATAAAAAATTTTAGGAAAATAAAATTTCAACTAGGACTGCGCAAAAGACAGACCAGACATGACTTCAGCCTAACTATAAGTTTGGTCCATTTTATGAAAAGGAATGAGTTAGGCAGCTCGTGGTCTAATCTAATCCTCATATAATCCAAAGTTAAACAAGACTTGATTGGTCAAATAGGACTAGAGGATTAATTACAATCTTATCTAATATTTCACTTTGTTTTTTTTTTTCTTCTTCATCTATGAGCACTAGCAATTTATTTCAACTTGATAAACTCAATTAACATAATAAAATTACTCATAATCATATAAAATTTATCACAACAATAATTATAAATCCATAACAATCTCCAACAATAAAAAAGTATTTTAAGTATAACATTAATGATTCAAATTAAACAATATTCAGCAACTTTTAACATATCTAAAATCCACTACAAAAAGTTAACAACAGATTTCACTAGTAAAAAAAGATTGGGTTTGATCAATGCTAACATTTTACTCAATATTCATGACTTTACAAGTATGAAACACAAAATTACCAATTATTATTATAAATTAACTTATAATAATAATAATAATTAATAATTAATAAATCAATTATAATTATATTAAATAAATTTATAAGACTAGATTAGAACAAATGGCACAAATGCTCAATCTCTTATTCAGTCCAACCGAAAGAAAGGCTCTAGTCTTCTTTATCTTGAAAGATTAATTTTTATCAAGACCGAACTATTCTCGGTCATCTTAGGTTAGACCAGATCATATTCATTTTATGTAAAATGTGAATTAGTTATGAAAGACCTGTATCACCTGGAATAACAAATTTGGCCATTAGTAAGAACAAGAGTTTTACCATAACCCATGTTATTTTAGCCTTATGCCTTATCTATCTACTTGTGCCCACATGATGGTTGAAAATATCTTTTGGGCTTTGGTAAGGGCGTGATTGATATGAATGTGGAGGTGGAATCTTGCACAAACCAGCTTGGATGCAACCAATAATCGTCAACTTTGCTCCCTGTTTTCGCTGTCCCTCATAAATGACCACACAAGCTTTCTTTCCCGTGCTTCAACCACCCATCGCCCTTTACGCCCTCTAATCCTACCCCACACACCTCACAAGCCTTCCTTCATTGACTCTCTTCCTACAATCGACAAATTTTCATCAAAATATTCTTCTATGCCATCACAATACCCCACCTATATTCAGCGCCAGTTCTATCAGAGGGTGCTATGAGGCTATTATTACAGTCCTGTTGGATCATTTTGTGCAAGTGCATTTCGGCACATGCTGCCATATCATTCTGCATTGTATCTCACGGCAAGCAGCATCCAAATCCTGGCAAATATGTGAACCCATGTTCTCTCGTTTTTCTGTTGCATCCTTGTTCTCTGAAACAAATGTCTCGGCAAGTTCGTCAATGATAGGTTTATATTTAACAATATGTGTACTATTCATGAACGGGGAAACAAAACTCATTTCTAATACTCTATCCAATACCCACAAAGGCCACAACACACCACAGTAATTATTCAAGAGATACGATGGCTCACAACTGAGGACAAATCCCTCTGCGTTCAATATCCAGCTACAGAATCAGGTGCTGGATGACATTATAAGCTATTAGAGACATAGATTCTCCCCAACCTATCACTACAGAGGAAGCCAGTCTTACCAACCATATTTATGAATTGCCGGTACTTGAACACCAACAAAACACAAGCCAAAAAGTAATTATGAAAGCAATGGGAATAGGTGTACGTGTACCCGTGAATCACAGCTATAAGGAAAAAATTTGAGTTCAATCTCCATGTGTACCCAGACCCCATGATTGCCAGAGCGTTTCAGAAAATGCTCATGATAACTTTCATGTTCACACATTAAAATGAATCGAAGTATAATCTCCAATAACAAACACCGAAATTCTCATCAAAGACAACAAAACACAGATTAACCAGACTACATTATCAATTCCAATACAAGAGAAGGATTTTCTAGATGAATAAGAGACATATAGTTGACGTAAGGGAATGATTTCATTTTCAGTTGCACGTTACAAGGAAAGAAATTTGAAACGCGAACGAATCTTGTCTATGGGTGAAACATGGAAGACGGTAAAAGAAAAACTAAAATGCTACAGAAGATGTTATCACCTATCAGGCGGTTACCACCATTGATGAACAAGAACTCCACTTTGCCTCAGAGAATTGAAGAGCTCCAAGCATTGATCATAAGTCTTCTCATATTTTGCACTCCTCTGCCCAGGGCAACATCTTTGCCATCTATTGTAGTGGCACTCGAGGAAAATCTCGTCCACCAAACAAATAGCTCCTGTTTCGAACAATTTTGGAATCAGATCGAATTCAGTACCTTCCACGTCCATCTTCATCACTACAAAATCATTCTTTGAGACACTGTTCTTCAACCAGTTTGCAAAATCAAACCCCTGGATTTTCTCAACTTCGCCATCAAAATCACCAAATGATGATGATTGCAACGGCTGAATTCTACCCATGCCTCTGCCCTTAACATCGACTTGCTCGCCAGGGTCCCGATGAATCTCAAAGGTTAAAGTTTCGTTCTTTACCCAAGCAGCATAAGGTAGCAGAGTGATTCCCTTCTTCAAGCTATACTCTTGATGAAAAGTTTTATCAGCCTCAATTGCATACACATGAAAGGTCTTGTTCTGTTTTGGATACTGCTTCCTGAACCAACTTCCTATACTAGAGCCATAACTTCTAGCTCCAACATCCACATAAACATACCTACTCTTGAAGCTTATATCAACCATTGATGGAAGGTACTTTATGTTCTTTATGTTCCTCTTCAAAGTAATCCATGGTTTTAGTGGTTCCTCAGCGATCAAAGGCTCTGCATTTCTGACCAATTCTTGTTTGTACCCATGAGTGGAGCATTTTCCATTAGAATCATCATCGAATTTCTCAAACTCATGAACAATGCCATCAAACTCTTTCCTCAGAACAATTTCTCGTATGTGAGGCATTGAGGAATCAAATCCATCTATATCATGCGTTTTCACTACTTTGAAATTAGTAAACAAATCAAGGAATGAATTGAAACTATACGTATCTTTAGCCTTTACATGGAACACCACAAACCCTTCGGGTTTCAGCGTCCGAGCAATCTCAGAGGCGAAATCTGAAGGTCGCGCCGATTTCTCGAGCCCACCCTCGCCGGAAAATATGAAGTCGAAGGTGTTGTCGCGAAAGGGCATGCGATGAGCCTGTCCTGCTTTCACCAGTGGCTTCGAAGCTTTCTTTGCAATCCCAATCGAGTCCGAGACGCCGATCTCCTTCAATGCGAATACGTCGCGACCGGTCGGCGTCTCAACGCAGAGAGATTTCGACTCTGGCGAGAGATAGCCATAGGATACGAGATCCTTGAACACGGATGAGTAGAAACGAACGGCCTCGTTCCACTCTTTGCTCGAGTAAACCTCCGGACGCGCCGCAGATCGGCTAACTACGGCCTCATTGGACTCGACGGCCAAAGCCCCAGCGCCAGCGCCGGCTACCACAAAGTTGAGAGACTCCGGCAGGGAGAAGAAGCAGAAGTCGCCGACGTCGCAAGACTCGCCGGCGATGGTGATGACATAAGCAAACCGAACGACTATAATGAAAACCCCAAACAGAAGCGACCGTATGAGAATATTCCTGAGAAAGCCGGGCTTCACAGTAGTAGTCTCCATCGCAGCAGATTTAACACCTTCCGAGAGAGAATTTGATTTCAGACAAACATCCAAAACAACCAAAAAAAAAAATGAATGAATGAAAGCTGGATTTTTTTTTCTATGAAAATAAAAGGTATGGTTTTTGAGGAAGAGATTATCGGGAGGAGAAACGAGCGGAGGTGTGGTTAGCGCCGATGAGGACGGGTTTCCTGGACGAGAGAGAGGGAGAGATGGGGAAATAGCAATCGAAAACAGAAGCAAAACGGGATGACATGGCTGTACGAAATCGAGTGAGCCTAGGAAGCAGATAAGAGTGAGACCATTAGTGGAAAATTTGTTGGAGAGCAAGAGAGGTCAGTGTTGGCGAATGAGATGGTGAGGGTTGAGAGGATTTGCAGAGAAGAGAGATAGAAGATGGAGGAAGAAAGAGAGAGAAATAAAGGAATAACGCGGCGTGGAGGGTGACCGGGATAGCAGGTTGCACGCGGATAGAGCTGCGCAGACGAAGGAAGTGTCCCTGTCACCCGATTTTTAGTTGCCCTTTCCTTTCTTCTAAATTATGTAAATGCCATCCAAATCATGCCATTCCCCATTATTAGTATTATTATTATTTTATAAACAAGACCTCAACTAGAGGCCACGGAAACCTTCAATATCCTTATTCGCCATTCGCCATTTTTAATTGCTCATCTATCCAAATCATGAAACTCTTTTTTACTTAATTTTATTCTTCCGTTTATATTTGTTTGGTTTGGCGTTGGCCAAATGTTTTTACCCTCCAAAGTTATGCCAACAACCAAGTAGTTTAGTTAATCAGAATTACATTGGCTTATTTAAAAATTGAGAAAATTATATTCAATTTAAAAATTATTTGTTATTAATATGGTATGAGACTTTTTTTTTAATAATAATGTATTATGGATCCTCATCAACAAATAATTCTTTTAAAAGGTCTTCAAATTAACAAGGAGTTTGATAAATCTATTATTTATCATATTTTAGTAATACCACACACAATTTGAAGTTTGAACCAAATGTTTGAGTTTTGTATGTAATTACATAACTCTTAAATTTTGATTTTAAAACACGCATTTATTTAATATATTAATCAATTTGATAAATAAGGAAGAAAATGGTGAAGTTTGGCCCATTATAATTTATATTTATAAATATACTCTAAAGACTAAAGAGGAGTGGATGATTCCAGAAAAGCGAGGGGTTTGTTGTGTGTTACGTTTCGGCGCCACAAGTCAAGGCTTTCTTTTCCATATTACGTGATGGATTGGAGAGTTGTTGGAGCTAGTAGTGTTTTGTTTTTTGAAGGTTTTTTTTAAATTAAAATTAGCAATCATAATTCTATCAACCCCCTGAATCATCCTTTGGAATTGGTTTTTTTTTTTTTAGGCCAGACTTTGAAATTGGGTTTGGGACCTCACAAGGAACAAATCGAGAAATGACTGTTCGTTGATTGGCATTATCTGATTGGCTACATCCAAAAATAAAAAAGAAATGAAATTAATAAAAGACCAAGCGAAGCAAGTAAATTTTCATCCGATGCTATTCCAGTTTGATTGCCCAATTGAATAGTTGGCACTGCCCATTTCATCAATGAAAGATGATGATGCAATTAAGCTCCCGCGTTTTGTTCTTAATAATAATACCGAAGTACTAATCACTCAAATTAAAACACATGAATCATAAATCAAAGTGGTTTGCAAAAACATCTAACCATAATCTGTTTCTGAGTCAGCATCAAGTTTTTTTTTTTTCCAAAAAAGAGTTAATTTTATTAATCACAAAAAAAACAATATAATCACTAGTAGCCAAAACCAAAAAAATATTTAAAAAAATGAATGCAAACTAACACACAAAAACTCACCAAAACACTCAAAAAAAAAAAAAAGCACAGTCTAACACACAAGCTCACAGAAAAAAAAAATACAAAACAAAACAAAAAAAAACCAGCAATCAAAAAACAAAAGAAGCAAATTAGCTAATACCAACCCTGTTCGAACAGTCAAAAAAGTTACTGACATCAGAACCTCAAGCAGATAGCAAATCAGCAAGTGAAAAAAAACAAATAAAGAAGATGTTGCTTCCAGAAGCCATCCAGATAGACATATGTATTATAATGAAATTGTGGTTTTACGAAAATTAAAGTTGACACTAGCTAGCCAATGAAAATATTATAATTAAGAAAATCATGAAGCCACCTGGATAACAATTCTCCATCTGTGTTGTCCTAGCGTTTAGAGTTCAGACCAAGCTGTTAATGTTTTTATAACCTAATGGTGTGCATGCTTTCCTTTAAGTGTCGCAAATTTGATCCGACTTACAATTACAGGCTCATTGTGCATGCTCATCCAATTTAAAAAGAAAACACAGTTTAGACATAACTCAACGTTGAATAGCCGTTTGGTGTTGTAGTTAACGTTTGGAAATTAAGTAATTCTTTTAAAATTTAGATAGGTAGCCACTAATATTCTAAAATTATAATTATAAGTGAGATCAAGCTTATAATGTCTCATTTGATATGATGGAAGAATTTTTAAAAAAAGTAAAAGTGGAAGTAGGTTTAAAAGTATGTTTAGTATGCTGATACAAGCGTGATAAACTCATTCATATTGATGATACAAATCTGGAGATGAATAAGATAACTGTAATCATTCATGTCAAAGAGAATCTATAATTGTTACATAAATCTAGAACTGCAACAAAGACAAGATTCAAAGAGAAAATTAATTTAATGTTTGATTTGGAGATTAAAGAGGAAATTGAAGGAAAAAATCGTCACATAGATTGAACGCGGGGGGATGGAAGCACTAGCAATGATGGTGATGGAGGGGAGGAGATGATGCAAGTTGGGGATGTTTTAGTGTTTAGCTGAGAATGGCCATAGCCACCTTCTCGCTCACTTTGTTGTTGGCTTCAACCTCTGTCATCAAGCTCCGTTGCCGTCCCTGATCGAAGCCATCAAGAAAGGAGGTGGGTCATCATCTCATTGAGGAAGAAGAAAGAATGTTAGAGCTTAAAGGGTAAAGATGGAAGAAGGCATAATGGAATCCCAGTCCATTGAATTTGGTAGAAATGGTTTCCTTTGAAAACCTGGTTCACACGCATCAAACGTATAATTTTCGGCTTTCACTTCTACTTCTCTAGCTTAAGTCTTCGTGCACCAGACAAGCCATAACTTTGCACTTATTCAAAAGCTTTTATGCTGCGCAACCATGAGACCATTTATTTTACTTTTTGTTCTCTGCTCTTAAAAAAAAAAAAAAACTATTTTACTTTTTTTCAGTGTGAACATGCCAGCCAGCTTCCATTCATTAATGCAGAGCGTGAGAGATTTTCATTTTTTTTGAAAGGAACGCAGATTCTCTTCAATTTAATTCATTTTTTAATTCTTGAAAAGAAGATAAATGAAAAAAGCCTTGATTATGGGGCAAAAATAAAGATGATAACTTAAGAGTTAAGACCCGCGATCCGCGTGCACGATTCCATGATAATTCAATGCCAGGACCAAACATACACGAAAGTCTCGTTGCAAATGCAAATTGTTCATTTATATTTTCTTTTTTAAGAAAGTGAATGGAATCAAAGGAGAAGAAGAAGAGAATAAAAAATGGAGAAGCGCAACCAGAAAATCTGTGACACAAGTAATATGCCAAAATTAGAAGTGGAAAGAATGTTCACGAAAACAGAAATTTAAAAGAGGAAAAAAGCAAAAAGGATAAAAAGGGAAAAACAAAAAAATGCGTGAGGAATAGAAGGAGCAGGAGCGGGCAGGCGCCACGCGTTAAAGGGGCGATGACGTGGCAAAGGCGAAAGGGAAAACGGCTGACTGGCTGAGCCGGTGGTCGTCGTTTTCCAAGCCTTCCAGAGGGCGCAACAAAAGTATGTCTGCAATAGCCGTTACTCACTTTTCCCCCTCTAGTGGTGTTGTCTCCATTCCAACCATTTTACCCGTCTTTTATCAAAACTATAATCAATCAGCACATTATATTATACATAAAGTTCTAATTTGAAAAATATGTTTAGTAAAATTATATAAACTTTTATATCAACAAAAATCAATAGTATTGTTAATAATCATCCGTATAAACCACCTGGCCATTAGTTCAACTAATAAAAGACTTGTACTAATTTAGTCAAAAATTTCAAGTTCAAGTTCAAAGAATATAGTAATATTAATAGCAAAGTTTTTATTCAAAAAGATCTCACCCCAACTCAATCCCAATTAGCTTAAATTCATGTTAAGTCCTCTCAATTTAATATGGGGCAGTCTCATGATATCAAATGCTCCATTTAAGAAACTGTAAATTGTTTAGCTAGTGTGACAAGTGCGATCTATTTACTCACTCTTAAAAAAAAAAGTTACATTAAAGGTTTTTCATCCATTCCTTATTTTCAACTTATAATATAAATTTTAATATTATTAGCGAGATCAAACCTATAACATTTAAGTTATTGAAAAATCTTTTATGCCGCTGGGTCTTGGGTCACAAGGCATGTACATTAGTTATTTTGATTTGATTTCTTCTTTTTTACTGCTTTTGAGTTTGGTGATCTATGAATGAATGTGTATGATATATGACGTTCTAGTTGCACCTAAAAAAGCATGAATTCCAAAATATATTTGGCCATGTGAGATAGGACGCATTTAATAAAAAGAACTTCTTAATTTTTAGGGTTAAGCTACAAAAATATTTATCAAGTGATTTATCAGAGTATCCGGTAGTTTAAAATGAGAAAAAAGATAAAAATACTTATAATATTATTAAAATTGATGTAAAAGTGACCACACCGTTAATTTTACCGTAACATCGTTAGTTTTCAGTGTTAAATGCTGACTACATTTATCACGTGTCAGTTTTTACTAATGTGAACTAAAAACGGGGCAAAAAAAACTTGTGAAATCATTATTCAGGAGTATTCAATAGCCTAAAGTAAAAAAAAAAGATAAAAATACTCATAATGTTATTAAAATTGGTGTAAAAGTGACAAATTCGTCAAATCCTTTAAATGTTAATCATTTAATTGACACCTAAGCAAAAGTTGATTATTTTTTTGCTGACATAGACAAAAAACATTTATGGGTGAAATTTTATGGAGTTTGATCAATTATCGTATAAATATCATGTGAGAAAATATCATTTTGATAGAATATCAAATTAAATCACTAGTTTCTTTGCAATAGTGGTGAAAATCATTTGAAAATGAAAACATATCATAAATGAAATCGCTTAAAGTTATAACAATGTTCTTAAGGCATGCAGTGTAGGAGGTGTGTTTAGTCTCAATCTTCAATTATGTACAACCTATCTTACTGTATTGAATCTTAAGTTTTGTAAACAAGAAAAATGAGTAAAGAGAAAGGGAGCGGGTGGAATACATAAAAAAAAAACAAAGAG